TTTTTTTTTTTTTTTTTTTTTTTTCTTTTCAGCTTTATGTGTAGCAAACATAATTTATGTCATTAATGTGATTTATCTTTTAAACTCAATGATTTCATTTTACAGGCTTGTGAAAAGCTAAACCAGATAGAACTTTCAGACTGTGAAATATATGCTTCTTGTGAACCTTGTCCAATGTGCTTTGGAGCAATCCACCTTTCACGGGTTAAGGTTGTAAATACCCTGTTTTTCCTACCTTAATTTTTCATTTCTTTCTATTAATTTTCACAAACATTTGGCTAAAATGCACTACTAATATAATTAACTTTTTTTCTCATTGCTATCTAATAATAAATTGTTATATATGGTAAGATTTGTGTAATAATTTAAAATCATATCTAAAGTGGCCTTAAAGATTAATTCCTTCCTAATCATTGTTGTTATAACCTTTTTTATCTATAAAATAATTGGTGGGTGCTGTAAAAAATTTTACACCCCAAGAGGTGAAAATTAAATTTCTTTTACAAAGCATACTTTTGGGTACACTTTCTTACAATAATCAATTTATTCATATAGAGGTTGGTTTATGGAGCGAAGGCAGAGGCAGCAATTTCTATAGGGTTTGATGACTTCATTTCGGATGCATTGCGAGGTACTGGATTCTATCAGAAAGCACAATTGGAGATTAAAAAGGCTGATGGAAAAGAAGCTAACATTGCTGAAGAAGTTTTTGAGAAAACAAAGGAAAAATTTCGAATGTATTGAATTGAATCTCTATGTTTCCTAAGCCATTAGGTATTTGCACAAGATGAAATTTAGCTTCATATAAATAAGCTTGTTGCTCTCATGTGCATCCAAAATCCTGATGAATATCAACTAATAACTGTACTGGGAAATCAAAATGAAAGTATACTTTGTAATATATCATGCAGTTGTCTTGTTAAATCCTTGTCACTGTTGTAAATATTAGTATGGTGTAAATAATTATATTTGTAATATAAGTACACAGTTATTAGAAGTGTGAATAACATAGTAATTAAGAGCAAGCATCTCACTTTATTTCTTTTAATCGAAATTGCTTATCACTTATTTTTATTTTTCTTAATACAAACAATTTTAAAAACAAAATTTCTACAATAGTAATAACTTTTCAAAGTTACTATCAATGGATCCCACAAAAAAATCTTAGAACATTATGTTTTATTAATAACTTTTTTTTATTAATTTATAATTATTATTTTTAAATTAGTTAAAGTTTAAAATTATGAAATTTTGTAGACTAATATTGTGAAAAAATTCACACCATAAAAAATATAAATATAAATATAAGTAAATTATATTTTTATTTAAAATGAGGAAACTTAACCTTATATAAATAATGCAACATAAAGATGCTAATTAAAATATTAAAAATTACATAATTAAAACAATAACTAATTTTACTAATTATTGTGCCCAAATATTCTCTACTAGATTCGCTTGAAGTTGATGATGACTTCTCCTATCATGAACTTCTCTCCTTTGTAATTATCTCTCAAGATTCGGATGAAGATCAATATGTATGTCAACTGTTGAGACATCATCTAGATTATCATAATAGTGGTTAAAATTGTTATTATATGTTTGTCATTTATCTTTCACAATCGTGTTAGACAATATGATGCACTCATATAATATATGTTTAATTTCATACATATTCTAGCCACGAACATTTGCAAATCAAAATTGAAGCATTCCAAACGCTTGCTCTGCATTCTTTTTTGCTGCTTCTTAATATTGAGCAAACAATTTTCTTTTATCGCATTGTGGTTATAACGACCCGTCGTAGTTGTCACACTACGAAACAACACTACACACTACTAGAATATATTTACTAGAATAATATAATAAAATATTTACAACACAAGTTGTTAATCAAACAACCAACAGTAACTAGTTATATACAACAAAATATGCTACTATAAGGTAGCCTACAAAAAAATATCCATCTCCAGGCACCTCCTGTGGCCTCTAGCAGCTATCTCCCAACCTATCCCTGCCCTGCTCCCATACAACGTATTATCATCGCATTCCAAACCACATGGAAACATGCAAGGGTAAGCTAGAGACAATAAACAACTCATAATAATTTAATATGCAACACAACAACTATATAATCATCTTCGCATCCGACACATAAGACAAACAACATATATATTATACATCTTAACATCATTTCAACTTGATTCCACATATAAACACTTCAACACAACTACTGTACAAACAATTGGAATAGTTACCATATTCATCATATCAACAACCAACACATGTATTATACACCTCTCAACGACACATGTTTAAAAACAACTTACAACACAGGTAATCTAGCGACGCTAGCATCATCATTAACTTGTATACAAATAAGCAACTTACAACATAACAGCACTATCATCATCCTCAATAGGGTCAACATACAACACAATCACAGCTTAACAACACAATAACATATGTACAACTCATATCAACAACAAATCAACTCATCAACAACTTATGCGTCGTCACACATTTCAACTCGGAGATCTCCTACAACGTGGTGAGTAGTCTAAGTGGCTAGGTCCTACCAAACTGAAAACACATAACCTTTTTGGGTTTGCTAGGTAAACAACAAATTTGGATAGAAATCCACAACACGATAATGATTTCTCAAACTTTGCCACTTAAACAAAAAAGTATAGTACTCTGTCAGGATAGAACAGCTGGGTTTAGGCCTACCACGGCATTAGCTAGCTTAACTAAGCCACCTGTGGGATTAGCCTACCAACTATCCTCCAAATACTACAACCCTTCGATACTCGGTTAGGAACTAAGTTCCCGACTTCGTACTTTACTCATATTGGTCGCTTGTAATCGGTATAGCTCGACCTGACCCCTATATTGTGGTCGCTTTGTACATGTGTGTCTCGGTCTTGCTCACACAGAGGATCAACTAAGTCCTAGAGGAGAACAACACAATGTCCACTCCAAGGGACAAGTTCCCAAGGAGGGTTTTTCAACAAATTGGGCTCTTAGAGCACCACAACTATCTTAATCCACACAATGGAATGAGCAACTTAAAAAATATCTCCCCTAGTCCTAGTGATCAAAAACTCATCATCACAACTTAATTAGCTTACAACTCAACAACACAGCTCAACTCAACAACTTAAACAACATACAACTTTTCAACTCATCATCTCAATCAACTTTCAACTTAAACAACATGGTTATCATCTCATCAGCTCAATGATCAACTCATTTCAACTTTAAACAACAAAGTCAACTCAACAACTTATTAGCTCAACTCATAATTTACAACTCAATCATCATAAAGTAGTATCTTTTCAACACATGGCATAACATACAACTTTTATAGCAACATACAACTCTCCTCTAACAACTTGACAACACAGTCTACTAATAACATCTATATAAGTCTCAACGCATCTACACACTTCACATCATGCTTCTCACAACTCACAATATTATCATCATGCACTTCACAACTTTCAACTATATCATCTCATCATATTTCACAATATATAAATGTCCACACATAACATATAACAACTTTAACAACATATCACATATTCAACACATTTTTATTTGGCACAACTACTCATTTAGTTTACAACACTATACTCAACATGCATCTCTTCATTTTACTTTCTACTCATCATACATCTCAATGTAATTATACAACTCCATACAACTCAAAAATAACCTCAAATTCAACATGAAATCAACCATGCATCAAAATCATCAAAAATCCCATTTTTCCCAAAACCCCAAAAAATGAGAAAGTCCTCAAATCAATCAATGATTCTCAACATTCTTACTCCATATGAGTTCCTAAACTCACATATAACCAAACAAACATACAATCTAGCTTCCCTTACCTAAAGATTGACTCTAAAAGCCAAGAATTTGAGAAGAAGAAGAAGAAGAAGAAATATCCTCCAAAGCTTGACTCTTGAATTTCAATCCTCCAAAAATAAGCTTTTTAGTCCAGAGTCCTTCTCTCTAGAAATTCTCTCTAAAACCTCTCTTTCTCCTCAACTGCACACAAGTTCTATTTATAAAAGTCTGAAGTGGCCAGAATGACTCGTTTCGAATCCGGAACGGTCCATTCTAGGCTCCTTCATCATGTGTAAAATTCACATGCAGAACGACTTGTTCTGAAACTAGAACGACTCGTTTTGGAACGTCTAGAACGACTTGTTCTTAAACTAGAACGACCCGTTCTAGAGTTGAATTTAACTCACAATGACCATTTTGGAACGGCCCGTTTCAGTCTAAGATTCATAAGCCTATTTAGTAGTTTGGAACGGCCCATTCCAGTTTGGGAACGACCCGTTCTGAGCTACTAAATTACCCACACTATGCTTTGGGCCTTCTGAAACTTGCTACGCTACAGTGGCCATGAGATAGTCTTCACAAGATTAGTCCATTCTAGATAAATATCACCGCTAGATAATACCCCATGTTATATTTGGTTTTATTCACTATAAATTGTAACATAGGGGCTTTTCCTTCCATAATTTCATTGAAGACATGAGATTCATTGAGCATGTTGATGTCGTTGTTTGAACCTAGAACCCCAAAATATGTATGTCAAATTCATAAGTCTTATAATGCCATGACTTCAAACATGATTATGGACGGGGCATCATTATGACAAATTTGACATTTCCATGTTATTAGACAATTTTTCTATTTCCAATGCATACAATAAATGCTACCTAACATACTTAAAAAATCACCTTACTCACCTATTTGCAATAGTGAAGCTCATTATTGTTGGGTCTTCTCAAATATTCAGATCTAAATATATTGTAGACCCCCCTCATAAACTTGTCCAAGAATTGTAATGTTGCGATTTCTCCAATTCGAACATACTTATTGACTTTATTAACAAGTGATCTATATGCTAATATGTGAATAACAACAATGTATTTATGAAAATACATCCTTCCAATTGCATCAACTCTTAACTTATGAAAATATTGATCTTTATTGTCAAAAGGCTTATACAATACGAAGGAAAACATTCCTTCACATTCTACATCTTCTTTGGAATTGGTCATTTGTGTAAATCCCATTGTTGGAAAAATAGTCATTGAATAATTGATTATGTTTGTTTTCAAGATCTCTTTCAATGTGATTTCTTGGATGCCTACTTCTCGTTGCGAGTTGTTATTGTCTTTCCATAACCAACCTCATATATTATTCTTCATAGTCATCATTTAACAAATATTTGATGAGTTCATTTTCAAGAGATGAATCACTGGAGTCTATCTTAAGCAACACCGCAAAGTTATAGAGTTTAAGAAGATTTGACACAACTTTTGCACAATTGAGATGTGTGGAAATCTTTGTACAAGAAAATAATATATATATATATATATATATATATATATATAAATGACTACCTATTTTTTGTAATCAAAATAATGGCTGACTTATTACAACTACTAGTTTTTCTTTTTTAAAATGAAATAATAGCTAGTTTGTTACAAGGGCTAGTTTTTTTTTGTAAATGAAATAACTACTAATTTCATAAAATTACAATCATAATTATAAATAATAATTAAAAATTACATAATTAAAACTTAAATAATTAATAAAAGTTACACAGTAAAAATCACATTACAATAACTAGCATAGTTACTGAAGTCCATATTTTTCTATATTTGTGTTACACATTTTTTGATGAGTTTATAGTTATGCATTGATCATACCAACAATACCCTTATAAAGGATTTGCATGTTGATTTCTTTGTTTCTCACCTTGATTTCTTAGTCCCTCAATTTGCTGCATTCATTTTTGGCACATGCATTAGTTTTTTTTTATGCTTTTACTTTGGTCTTGATTACATATTCTATAGATGTGAGATCAACAACATTTGAAGATTTTGTCTTTACTTTTGATTTTGTGGCTCTCTTTGTTACTTTTATCACTATTAGATGATCCATACTAGGTGATGTCGACTAGTAACTTGATAGCATGTATGGATTAGGAGAGGATAAGCATACTTAAGAAGTAGAAACCCTTGTTCTCTCACTAGATTCTTTAAAAGTAAAAACCTTTATTCTCTTAATAAATTGCATGCGCATCTTGCATGATGTTAGACTCAAAGCTACAAAAAAAATTTTCTTTGACAAGCTTATTCGTAGCACACCAAGAATTTTTTATAGTTACCATTGATCTTTTGTCATTAATATTTTAGTTGTGACACTTCTTTTGGCTTCAACTATTGCTCATGATAATTATTGTATTTTTCTGCAACTTTTGTCCAAAAAATTAATTCTTTTTAGTTTATTCCTACAATTGCATTCTTAGAAACATTTAGTCGAGCGTCGACATGACACTCATCTTCTTTTTGGAAGAAACATGATCTTTGTTGTGTTTTGGATGCTCTTTTTCCCTCCTTTAATTTGGGTTGAAAATGGTGGAACTTGAAACTGTGTTGTGAAGTCAAATGGCGTGCCATTCTCTTTTTCATTACATGCTTTGCAACTAATACCCATTGAACATATTTTATGTAGGTACACATAAGGTCTAGGTACATTTTATCACCACTAAGCCCATTTTTCTTCTTCTTCTTGTAGTCTTTTAGGTGTATTGGGCAATTCTTCTTCAAAAGTCCAATCTTACCACATTGGAAGTAGTTAGCCTCCTTAATCACCCCATCTTTTTCTTTTGGGTTAGAGGAATTACACTTGGATTTCTTCTTAGCTTTGTCCTTTGTAGTATTGGGTGTCTTTCCCTTTCTAGATTGGATAATCATAATAGCCTTTCCCTTTCCTTTATTGATGTTACGTTCAACAATTCTCAACATGTTAGTAAGTTTTGAAGTGACTTGGTCATGTCATTCATGTTATATTACATTACAAACTGGCTATAGTTATTCAACTAAGAATGAAGTATTAAATCCATCAACAATTCTAGTCCGTAGGAAATCTTAGCCTCCCTAGACGCTCAATGTTTCAAATCACCTAGAGCACATAAGGTTTTTTTGGACTTCCCTCTACCACCTTGTAGTGGAACGTGGACCTAGATTTGTCAAACCTTTCTTGCCTTGCCTACTCCTGAAAAAGTATCTTGGGGTGCTTAATCATATTGAATGCCTCCATGTTCTCTTACTGCTTTTACATCTTCGAGCTCATGATAGCAAGCATGAGACATTCAACATTTATCATCATTTAGGTGCTTCTAATAAGCATCCTTTTCCACCTTAGAAGTAGTAGTTGTAGGTGGTTCAAGATTTGGCTCCTCAAACACATATAACTTTCTCTTCTACTTAAGAAGAATCCTAAAGTTTCTCTACTAGTTGTGAAAGTTATTCCAAGATAGCTTGTCCTTCTCAAGGACCAATTGTAGTGATAAAAAATTTGTGTTTGCATACATTGTTATTTAAAACAATTAAACTTTGCATAATGTAAGTATCACTCTTTGAAACATATTCAACAAGGACTTTCATAAAATATGCTCCCACTATTTTACTTAAACCATTAACCCTCAACTATTGGTTTAGGAAATCTTATTATAAGATTTTCTAGTGGGTCAATATCCATATTTCATCTCATCCTAAGTCAGTTGTGGTTGATTGCCCATAACTTGGCTATTTAGGTAGGAAATTTCTTTCCAATTGCATTTCGACACAACTCTTGGAACAGTTGTGTGAATAACACTCCTTATTCCAATTTATCATATAAATTGATTCCCAACTATTGTCTATGATATTTCATCATTTAAATCAAACGCAATGGGTGATAGTCAGATATTACCACTAGATATTGTGCTTAGGCCCATACTCGAGTGCAAAGAAACATTTTCTGTATTTTGTTTTACAAAACACACCCATGCATCATACGAAGCAAACAAGAAGCATATATGTATCTCAAACATTCATATCTTATATGGTCATGCTTTCTTAAAAAGAAGAACAACCTAAGAGGACCCTAAGTTACATGTAACTAGTGCTATGATACCATTATTGGGGTTTTATAGGGTAAAATTTCAAAAAAAATATTTTTCATTAAAGAATCCATGACCATAATAACTTGCTTCCCATAAATCACACATTACACAAGAATCATTCTAAAAATTTAAGATTTTACCTTTAAGGTGTGATTTATAACTTTTTAAAATAACCTTATTGGTTGAAAGACCAAAAGCATTCTCCTTTTGATTGTGAAGCGCCTAAGTAGATGGTGCCTTCACTTAAATCATATTTAATTAAATCTATTGTTAAATAATTAAATAATATTTAATTAATTTTCTATTAAATTAAAGAGTAAATTACACTTTCTTTTCCTAATAAATATGAATATTATATTATTCTCCTCTCCTATGTTAAAGATTACGGTCCCTTCTTTCAATAGATTTCAATATATGACACTTTACTTATTTTTTTTTATTTTAATTTTTTCATTAAACTTTCGTTACAAAAAAATATTACCAAAACACCCTTTACACTAATATCTCCTTGGATATGTAAATATTACACTATCTTCTCTTAACAAATTTAAATATGTTAAACTTTAACAATTTATCTCTTGATTTACATATTTAATTATTAGTTTAAAAATTATTATAAATTTTGCTAAAATTATGTATATATCTTAAAAAAAACATTTTTTATTATCATCTTTACAAATATTTTTAAATTTACATATCAAAATAAAAACAAAATATTTGTATAAGTAAAATAAGATCAAATACAAGTTTTAATATATTATTAAATTGATGTAGTTAATATAATATTTTTTTTATAAACATTTAGATAAAATAGTATCTTCATTATATAGTATTAATTATATATATTAAGGTAATATATATTATGAAGGTAGTACTTAATAATAAATACTATTTATTATATTTAACTAATGTAATGTTAAAATATGTTAATTAAATATATAGTTTTTTAAATAAATATATTTATATTAAAAACATATTATTAAATAAAATATAATTATTACAAAATTTAATATTTATATATAATTTAATTTAATTTTATTTATATATATTACAATTTTTTTAATTAGGTGAAAGAATGAAAATGAACTAAAAATATTTTAACTAAAAGTACATTTTTTTATGAATAATTAAATTAAAAGTATAATTTTATGAATAATTAAATTAAAAATAATTTATAAAATTTAAAATAATTATTATTTAATGATGTTAAGTTAATATAATAAGAAAGTGATAAATATAATACTTATATATTTAAGAGATTAAAGTGGAATTTACTTAATATATTAATATATGGAGAGTGAATAATATAATATAATCCTTATATCCGGTAAGAAAGAAGAATGTAATTTATATTAATAATATTAAATAAATGTATTTAATCATATATATTTTATTTAAAAAAAGAAAAAGACATTAACACTTAGAAGAGAGTAATGTAATTTATTCTAAATTAAATTATATTCAATTCAATAACTCGTTGAAAGTATTTTTACAAATCTAATAACATGATTTATTATAAGTCTAATTAACTAATTATATAATTACAATGTAACAAATATATAATATATTATTTTTGTGAAGAAGGAATATATACGTTTTAGATTGATAATAAATAAATAAATATAAATATAATTATAAGTTACCATGAATAATATAAAAAAATGTTTAATAATGATTAAATTTATGTGATTAATAATATACATGGTATGTATTACTGGCATGCCAAAACCCTCTTCTGTAGATGTATATATGATCATCAACCCATGAGAGGCAAAGCCCTGCTCTGATGAAAATGGCAGCAAAGAAAGCATGGAGAATCGTTCCGAGACCCCTCCTAGAAACCGTCCTCAACAACCACGCGCACCACCACCGCGTCCATCAAACCCTCCTCCTTCACGGCCCCAGAGGCGTCGGAAAAACCACCCTCATTCTCCGCCGTACTTTTCTCTCTCTAAACTCTCTCTCTAAAGCCCAAAGCCCATTCAATTCAACATTCCTCTCTTCTTCTTACGTGCAGGCTTACTCCCCGACTGGAACCAAGGCCCTCACCTCACCGGCTACGTGGACTTCGCCCAACCCATCAAAGCCCACCACGGCCCGTGGGCCTCGTGGTCCACCTGCCCTCCGCCGCCCCTCTCCGAATGCCGCCAAGCCCTCGAGCAATGCCTGGAGTCCATGGCCGAGAAGGGCATCCGCGCCGGCACCATCACCTCCCAACAGATATTCGCCACTCTCAACAAGTGGCACGGCCTCTCCGCCGCCCTCCGCCGCCTCCTGCACGCCGCCAACTCCCGCGCCTCCCCGGCCGCGCTGTGGGACCGCGCCGTGTTCTCGGTGTCCGGCCAGTGCGCCGCCGCCGAGGCTGCCCGGATTTTGGGATTCGGGGAGGAGGAGAGGAATCGCTTGTCCGTTGAGGAGGCTTCTTACTTGAGCGAATCCGTTGCGGCGCTGAAGCTCGCAAAGAAGGTGATCGAGGTTCAGCAAGGGTGGAGGGTCAATGCCATTGCGAACATGAATCGCACCGGCGTCTTCTCAAGGACTTTGACTCATTCTTCCACTGATTGGCCTTGCTTGTTGCTGGAGTTGCTTTCACAAGCTGCTGAAATTGACCATTTTCAGGTGCGTGTCCTAATTCCTAAATTACCTGACTTAATCAAGGTTTTAAATTACACTCATGGATTTCATTGCTGGCAATTCTGGCTGATGTAGCCTCAATTGCATTTGCCTAGACCTCTGGAACCGTGATATTGTGGTTGCAATTGCAGTTGTGGACCATAATTGTCTAATTGTTGAATATAAAGATGCACTTCATGGAAGTATCAATCCGGAAATGAGTTTCTTTTGAAAGATTGGATGCTTATTTTATCAAGTCATGTTGGATTGCGTTGTTTGTAGTGTGTTGTGACTTGTGAAGTTCAAATTGATGATGTATTCATGTAACTGCAGCCAAAGCTGGTTATTAACAATATTGAAGTTCTAAAGCATGCCACTGTAAATGACGAGTTATCAGTCAGTGGACCCCTATATCATGATAGTCTGATATGGAGAATTATTGCTTTGGGCGCAAATGAGCAGTGTCTGCCTGTTTTCCTGGTGACATCTGATAGGTGATTATCTTAAGTTAAACTTCATTTCCTAACATTGTCATAATTTACGTGCAAATTTCTTAAGTTAAACTGTCACTGGATTTCAATTCAATTTTTTTTAGCCATTATTGCTTAATTTTATGCTTATTAAGCTAATTTGTTTCCCAATAAAATAATAAGGAATTTATTTATGCATTTGTTCTTTGGTGTCATTTGATCCATCTAGCCAACATAATTTAATGGGAAAAACGCTTGGTTGTTGTTGTTGTGTTTTGATTTGTTCCTTTGGCAAGAGAGGTCAGGGATTGTAACATGGGCTGTAGATGTATGGTTGAGTATATCATTATTTTTACTCCATTAGAATTGTGGGAAAACATTAAACTTAAGTGCTTGCTATTGAAATATTTGAAGCTTGTAAAGTATATAATCCTGTTGCTGTCAACATTTTACTTAATTACTTATTTTGCATAGAAGGCACTGCAATTCTTTTCATAACTATATTGACTCCTGATTATATAATAATAACATGGAAAAACTATTTGTATCAAATGATTGAAAGACGACTACTAGATGCCAGGACTGGAATAAGTAGTATCATTTCTTGTATTTTTCTGTATCAATTCATTACTTTTGCAGCAACCATATTTTATGATGATTACAAGTAGACGTAGTCAATTATGATTGTTTTACTGCAGTAATTCAAACATTTGCCTTTATACTCAAGAAGTAAATACTTTTTATGGCCTTGGGTCTCGGTTGTCTTCCATGTTGTATGCATCCAACATAACTGGTTCATGCTTTTTGTGGTCTGATTTCCTAGAGCTTTTGGTTTTTCAGAGTTCCATCTATTTTACTAGTTCTTATATCCTCCCCTCTTCATGTATTCTTCTTTCATTCTTATGTAATAATTATGCAAATTGAACATATGGTGTTTCCCTCTCTTTCCTTTTTACAAATTCCAACGTACAGTTATTTTACTTTTCTATCCTTTCTACAAATTTCAATACCTTGTTATTTGCCTCAGTTACTATTCATATGAAGCTTTCTTGGAGTTTGGATATACGGAGATATTTATCTCACGTGAGGTACTTTGAATAACTATCATCTTCCTCCTTCAGTATCTCTCTCTCTTGACACACCTATGCACACTAATACATCCTGTGATCTTATGTATGAATTGGGGTCAAGATACATGAACTGACATGCTCTTGTTAGCTGTCCTCTTTTGAATTAAGCATGGAATAGAAAATGAAGGATTAGTCTACAGCTATTTTGTTTAGAATGTCTATCTCCCTTTCCATGTGAAATACCAAATGTGACTAGTAACAAGGTAAAACACACTTTACCTTCTGAGGTTAGGGCACTTGGGCTAGGAAAGTTGAAAGGAAAACACAATCTGTGAATTTATGTCAGTGCCCATAAGGTTAAGTGACTATTCCAAGTGACACTCACAACTATTTATGCTACTATGTTAGAGTGTAACATCTTTATTTTTTTATTTTTATTTTTTTATAGATTGTTGAAACAAATGTTATTTATCTACTTTAAAATGAATGTTAGGGGCTAAAAATAGTGAATTTTAAAGGGATGGAAACTAAAGAAAAATACTTTCAAGGACCAAAAACAAAAACAATTATATCAATTTCTAGAGAGATAGAAAACAAATAATTTTTTAATATGGACCAAAATCAAAACTCGCTAATTTTACGTAGACTAAGAACATATTTAAACCTTTTATTATTATTATTATTATTATTATTGGTGATGATTTTAAGGAGAAAAAAGTATGGAGTCAACAATAGTTAAGGAGTTTGAGATTACAACTTTTGGGAGGCTGAAATATTTACTAGAAATTGAAGTGTTTCACATCAAGAAAGGCACTTTCATACCTGAACAAAAACATGTCAAAATTTGCTCAAGGAGATAGGTAAGGCAACTTGTAAACCTGTAGGTAATTCCATGGATTCAAACTAGGATAGTGCAATAATGGGTAAGATGTAGTAGTGTTTGGTTGGAAAATTAATGTATCATGAGAGCCAGTTTGACCACTGCAATGCTAGGCAAACTGATATCTGGGTTCTTAATGGACAAGGTTTGCTTGAGGGTGTGACATGGAAGAAATGGATCCGGAGGAGGCTTCAACAACATTAATGGATGCAACCTTGAATTTTTCAAGGTGAGATTTGTGTGCCAGAAGCAGGGTTTCCACTTCATCAATGGACAACAATTCAAAGTGACCGATGATGAGAGACATGGTTGATTCATATTCTTTGCGTAAGCCCTCAAGAATGATATCAAAATGTTCTTTTGAGGAAATAGAGTCACCAATAGGCAATAGCTGTGAGGGCATCAATAGGAATGTATTTTATCCCAAAGTTTAAAGGATGTCTTGTAGCCTATAACATGAGTAAGCATGTCTTTTGACATGGAAGATTGTAACCAAGACAGCAAGAATTGATCTTGCTGTTCCCAGGGAAGGTAAGATTCACAAACTTGACTAGCATCACGATTAGTAATGGAAAGAAACTTCTGAGGTATCTGTGGGTTGACTAGAAAATGATGAAGTCTGGCCCTTGATCACTGGTTCAACCTGCTAGCATCAAATAAGATAGTTCTTGGTGTTTTTAGAGATGGTGTGGGAGAAGGTGAGAGATGGAGTCGGTTTCTTTGGATGAACTGTATTGATGGGTTCAACATTGAAAAGTGGAGGAGGCAGTGGAGAAGAATCAGCTATGAGTGAGGTGTTGAGGGATTGAAGGGATAAAGAAGGGAAGGATTGATGAGCTCTATGATACCATAATAGAGATATATAGTGAAGTCAAGAGAGAGAGATAGAGAATATTTCTGAACTGTAAAATATGTAATCAACCCACTGAATAGAGAGTACATGTAGTTTATATATAGAGGCAAAAACTTCTAACAGAAGTTGTTGGGCTATAACAGCTGTTGGGCCTATAACTGAAATTCTGGAAATATTGAATATGACTAAAATACTAACTGAATAAGTAATACAACAGAAAATAATAAAACAGAAAATGTAAGGTTCTACACTACTGCTGTACATACAAGTAAAGAGTAAAACTTTACTCTAATGAGATGCAACCCCAGATTGATGACATACTAGCACTTCGCAATAACACTGAAGGTTTTGCAGAGGTTTTGGGTAAGTGGCGAGACTTCCAGACTGCGAGAACTCCTGGGAATCTTTTGATAAGATGCAAAAGACTTTTCCCTTGTTTCCCCTTGAGGTGAAAGTTTTTTTTTTTGGGGGAGAGGGGAGGGAGTAATGCTACCTATGATGCACCGATACGATACGCGTATCGGATACGACATGTATACGATACGACGATACGATTATTTTAAAATATTTAGGATATGATACTTGTAAGATACGTGTCATCATATGTATCAATATTCATACAATATAATAATTGTGTACTTGTAATTTTGATCAAAATTCATAAACATTAAATGTATAATTGCTATTTTGCAAATCCAAATTAAAAACATATTTATTGTACATTACTAAAAATAAATAAATTATAAATCATTTCATCATAAATTACTTTTTATTATTTACAAATAGAAATAATATTATCAATTTCATTTCTTTCTTAAAATTGTCTATGTAGAAGACAATTTTCATTTACAGTTCATCAAGGACCAATTCTATGTTTCTATATTAAACATGTTTATATATCTTATTTAGCTGTAATAGATATTTCCTAATTTTTCAAAAATTTGAATACTTTTTCGATCTGTATCACCAATAAGTATCGGTGAAGTATCTGAGAGTATCGGAATTGAATAAAATTTTCATAATATTTTTAAAGGTTAGACATGTATCGGTGAAGTATCCAAAAGTATCGTATCGGATTTGGATACGTGAAGCAAATTGAAGTATTTGTACTTCATAGATTGCTACACATCAGTAGTAAACAGGGTCTATTTTAGGGGGGCTAATAAAGGAAAGGAGGGAATTAGAACATAATTGTAAGCAGAAGTGCCTATAAATAGGAAATAACGGTCAGTTAGTTGGGCAGTTAGAATTTGACTCAGTCTTGGGAGAGAAAGGTGCTCTCAAACACATTTTAACCTGTATTCTTTTTCTGTTCTTCATCAAGAACACACTGAATAATAATACTAAGTTTCTCAGCTCTATATTTTCTATCATTTTTTCCCCTCAAGTCTGGTAGAACCTTTCAGCTATATGCAACATATATCTAAATATGTGTGGCAAGTCATAGTTCGAACAGTTTTATTGTTTATATTTTGCTTTTATAGGTGCATGGAAATCCATCAATGATGATGGCTAATCATAGAGTTGGGATGTATGGAATTGAGTATTGGGTGGTAAAAAACTAACACAAGAATAAGTTCAATATGAAAAAGATGATAATGTTGTGCTCAATGAGTGGACATACTAGATAAGACAAGGTTGGGAGTGAATTTATTAGAGAGAAAGTTGTGGTAGCACCTATTGTAGAAAGAAATAGTAGAATCTTTCCTTATGTGGTTATGGCCAGAGTTTAGAAGACCTATAGAAGTCCTAGTAGGGAGTGTAGATAAAATGGAGAGTAGCTTAATAAAATAGGTAGGAGAAGATTGAGAATGCTATAAAAGAAATAATTAAGGATTTAGTGGTCGATGACTTGTCTTTAGACACAATTCACAAGAGGATATTATGGCATCAAATTATTCATGTAGCTGATCCCACCTAGCGGGGAAAAGACTTGGTGATGGTTGTAACTTATTACTGTGCTTCCACCTAGAATTTGGTTATCAAGACAAGATGATTTTTGAGATGTTGTCCTTACAGTTGCTTGTATGCAACTGGACAATGTACATGAGTGTCTAAGGCCATTTTCATTTGTTATTTTGTAATTAGTTATGTTATTAATTCAACGACTTTTGCCTGGCAGACCTTTGGATGGACCCCACAAGAAGCCAAGATGCACATGGTCACTGACTATTTTAGTCAGTCAGAAGTATGGGTTTTTCATAATCTTCAAGATTTTTAAATTCTTGTTTTTATTTTAGTTCATGGAAATCATTGATAATTTTAACTAATATTTCTTAAATTGCAGTGGAAAGTAATTGATGAGATACTTGGGCCAAACCCTCGTCATCTATTTGAACTTTATGCACTTAAACAAAGGTACTATTACCAGAAGTAAGAGTTTTTTTAAATTATTTTATTATATGCTTATGAAAAATGTAGTGTAAGCAATAACACTCTTTTGAGCATTATGTGGAGGTGTTCTATATTATCACAGGTTCTCTTACTGCTGTACTTTTGCTACTTGTTACACATCACTGGAACTGTATGCCTTACTAGCTCATGCTTTTGTTTGATTCTAGACCAACAGAAGACAAGGCTTGTACCTTCGATGACATTGTAGATGCATATATAGCATATTTGCAAGTAAGTTCAAAATTAGGAATGAAATATATTATCTTTCAGTCCAGACCCTATTAATTTGTTGGTGGGAATAGATTGTTTGCTTGGGTAAATATAAAGCACAAACACACAAGGCTCATAGCATTTTCTTTTTGTGAAGCTCATTTTCATAGGACTTAACTAGGTTGGCTACTTTGTTTTTAATAGTTGACATATATAAACATTAATTCTCAATTTAGATTTTTGTCGGTTGATTATATATATAGGGGATGAATCAAATTACCTTGATACAACATTTCCAACTATGACACCAGGAATAATTTTATATAAAAGGTGAATTTTTTCGATCCAACAGTTGAAGTATAACTTTATATTACCTTAAATATTTATTTCAAATTTTGTCAAAATTGGATAATGATAAGAAAGTAATCAAATTATTAATATTTTAGCATTTTTTGAAAATTATATACTACATCAATTTTGATAGATATATGAATGAAGTATCAAATAATTTTAGATCATTATAAAATGTTATGTATATGATCTAGGTAAAAGGAACTTTCAATTTATAACAATGATTTTTGAGAAAAAGTCATCGAATTGAAAGTTATAGAATGTAGTAATAGTTGATCAAAGTTATATTGGTGTAATTTGATCCTTCCTTTTATATATATATATATATATATATATTTGAGGTATCTTGGTGTCTGCATTGTGTATATGTAGGAGTTGGTGCTTCATATCTAGAAACTGGAGAATAAATCACTTTTGATTGTAAACAGCCTAAAAAGTTTGTATGAAAAATGGTACGAATGACTTTTCTTTTTAACCTGCGAAATAGATTTCTTTATATTATGCAATTTTGGGATTATTCAAGAAAAGCTCATCCAAATGCATGATATATCTTGTAAATTGCATTATTTTATCCACAATTGCACTATGCAATACCATGAAACTTTTTCTCCCATGAAGAGATAAATTTAGTTTCCACCATATCAAGAAAAGTTGACAAAATGGGTGGATATGTAAAAGATATTATTTCCTTTGTCACTTTGACTCGTATAAAAACAGAAAATAAAAAACTGAATTTTCATTTTTATATATTTTTCAAATTGAAAGGGATGAAGTCGCTAATAAAGGATATAAACAAACTGCTAAAAAACAAAGGGGTTTTATATACATATAACCTCTTTTACCTTATATTTGAGTGTTTTTTTAATCCGGAATTATAATAGCAACAATAGGGTTCGACCCTAGTGGTTTTCTTATATTTGAGTTTAAACAAGAAAGGAAATGGAGAGAAGTCAGATAGGGTGAAATTGCCAATTTTTGGCTGTTTGATTAAGAGGAGAAACAGGAAGGAAATACTTTTTTTAGTGAGTTCCACATGTAAAAAAAAATTACCCCTAATTTTTATTGAAATTTGAGGGAATTATTGTTGCACTATATTTTCTTTAATATGTTAAAAATTATTAAAATAAATAATTTAATGTTGAAAAATAGTAGAGTTTAATTTTTTTGAGTTAAATTTAGTTTTTTAAATCATTATAAAACTTTATACATGATTTACTTTTCCACTCGCTCATTCAAACTAGGGAAGAGAAATTTCTTCTCATTTCATTGTTATTTCTATTCAAGCATTAATATAAAAACATCTTATCGACTCCATTTGACTTTTACTTTTATCCTTATTTTGTCTTTCTCTTGTTTCTCTCCTCTCTATTTACTCTAATCCAATGAGTATTTATGAAGGTAAATAAAATAAGATCGCAGGTGGTCCAACTAGACGGATATAGGAGAACAGAAAGAATTACATATAGTATTTAGCTTGATTTTTATTTTTCAGATCATTATCCAACATTCTAAATAGAAAATCACACGACACATGTATGATTTTGGTTTTTGGTCGACTTACATGTAGTTCTATTTGAAGTTTAAAAACATTTCAAATGTCTTCATTAGATTGTGGTAAATTATGAACAATGCCCTCCAGGAGCTAGTTGATTTTATAATTTCTAATATTACAAACTTGAAATTAGGAAAAATCTTATACATTAAAATAAAAAACATAAAAAGGTTCGTAAAACTTTACTGTTTTTCTGTTGGAGGTGGAATTTACAGATAGTGAATTTTCAAAATCTAAGGATGATGTGTTTTATTTTTTATTTTTACTTTTTGTTGGTTAATTTAAATTAATTTTCTCTAGTCTTCTCACTTCTTCACGTGAGTAATGACATGTATTATTCAACATCATTTAGATTACTGTTGTGAACCCTGCTTTGGATAGAGCATTGGAGATCTTGCAAAAATTTGCAAATGATGTATACAAGGGAAAGGTTTCAAAAGACAAATTACGTTTTGGTGCACCTTGGAGGCATCCACCAAAAATTGATGATCCTAAGTTGCACATGGAATGGGCAAAGCTTCAGTTAATGGATTTTGTGCAGTCTTTGGCCAATACTGAATTTGGGGTAAACTTGCTTATCTTTCTTAACTTATATTTTGTTCTTATGCAACTACAGTTCTGTTGAAAAATGAAAGATATAGGAGGAAAATCATATAAATATATAAGCTAATGCAAATACAAACACAATGCATGGATATCAAATGCAAAATTATAGGATAATGTCCCTACTTTTTATTTTTGTTTGTTAAAAGGAGGTTTTTAAGCTTTACTATCCTACTTGTTATGAGTAGTAAATGTGAAAATGGGTTTTTGTATACCTAAAAGTAGGCTATCAAAGAGCACGTGGATCAATTGGTATGAGATTGTTCTAGTTTAACTAATTGTCTTGAGTTTGAGTCCTAGGTTTGCAATTGTTATAAATACTCAGATTTGCAATTGTTATAAATACTCAGAGGGAGAGAATTGTCGTGTATAGTAGTTCTGCCTAGCTCGAACAGGATTGACTTTCACGAAGGATACATGTGGTCTGTAAACAATAGAAAAAAAAAAGAAAGCCTAAAAATAGGCCGAAAACTTTTATGTGAAAGGGGTCAAGCAGCTTAACTATTATAGTTATTATTACCATAGTGTAAAGAAAATATTTCCTGTCTTGTTGTCAAAAACATGAATACATTATGTAGAAAGACATAAAGAGAAAAAGGAAATAATAAATAGGATATTCCTAAAATTGATTAGGAATCCCAAAATTACATGATTGAAATAAAGAATAAAGTAATTGACTGCAATCCTTCCAATTAATGAGATGCTGTGATTCTTTTACAATTTTGGGATTGATTTCTGACAATTATTGTCTTGTTTAAATTCAAGGAAGTGATGAGAAGACGTATTTATTCTTAGGATCTCCTTTTCTCAGATTACTGTTTGTACTACTGTTAGTATGTTTGGGAAAACTTATTTCCCAACATCCAGTTGTTTTTTTAGTAGAAAAAAAGCTGTTTGTGAAATAAATTGTGAGACAACAGCTTAAAGTAAGCTACTTTTTTTTTTCTTTTAAAGTTAGCTACTTTTATGAATCTAAAAATTTGAAGCTTATGATTATTTTTCAAAAGTTTTTTTTTTTCTCTTAAAACAAATTTACTACATAAAAGCTGATTTTTTTTGCACCCAAACGAAATTAAATATCACAATTTCTTTTCATCAAATTTATCCAAACAAAATTTCATTTCGATTATAATCAATTACAATAATAATTGATTATACATATAATCGATTATTGAAATATTATAATTTTCACAGCTTTCTCAAACATATTGATATTGATTAACTTATGTTTAGCTCCTAGTTGAATGTTCTTGTATGAGTGGATAACTACTAATGAAATGGGAAATTATTTCCATATTCTTTGATATTAAAGTCTGAAGGAAGTGTCATTATTAACTTGTTTAAATTATTTCAGTAAAAAGGAAAATAAGTAAAACATGATTCAACTATTATGAGATAAACTAAGAATTGTTGATAGATTCCAACCAATGCCTCCACCCCCTTGTATTTGTGGGGGAAATATTACAGATATGTTATATCGTTGAGTTTTGTATGAGTTAGGTTAATGTGTCAGTTACACTTTGTAACAATTCTGTTAGATTGTAACCGACTGCTGTATCTGTAGTCAGAATCATATAAATTGGTTCACTATCATTCAGGTCAAATTGTAATTAACTTTCAACCATTTCAGAATATACACAAAAGTTCTCCCTCTCTTTTTCTTTACTCATGCATTTATGAGCTTGTTTGGATTAACTTCTCAAGAAACACTTTTAGGAGAGAAAAATATGAAGGAAAATCAAAATAAGTTTCTTCATAGAGCTTGTTTGGATGCAAGCCTAAAAACTTTTCAGAGCTATTTTCAGTGAAAATACTTACAAAAGCTTTTCTAGACTATATCTAAATAGACTCATATACTAAAACTAGCTGATGCATTAGTTAAAAATAAGATTTTGGAGAAGCTAATATGAGAGTTTCTATAAATTATGCAGAAATTTATTTCATTTTTTGATAGAACTGGTACCAACCGAATATGAAATTCAGATTTAATAACAACAGAATGCCGAAACTTTATTAATCGTAATATTGCTTCTTGAGACGAATTACAACTGGACACCAATAGCCAGCTACCCAAAACCTAATTCTTCCCAATCGTGATCCCAATAGAGGTACAATATCCTCTATTTAAACTAAATCTAATAACTGAAAATAGATAACTAATCAAAACAAACTATTAAAAGATAAACCTAAAAAATAGATAAATTATTTAAAATAGATAAACCAAAGCTTTAAAATAAATAATGATAAAACAGATAACTCAGTTCTGTTTGGCTAACTATTATCATTATTTTCCCTTTTGTGGCGCCTCCTATATACCTTAGTAATAGGAGGTTTCGGTTGAAGTCTATCATTTTTCCTTTCTATTTTTCTCTCTTAGAAGTACTTCTAGAATAGTTTACCGAAACAGACCCTTTATTAAATGGTGTAGGGGACTTCTTTTATGGGTGGTGAGTAGTGAGAGAAAGCATCTCGGAGAATCATTGAGTTAAGTATTGGGCAGAGAGCATTTGTTCTGTGAAGGAGCTTTGCTCCAGGCAGTAGGAATACTTTTTCCTCTGTAATGTTTCCATTTCAAAAATAATACACTTAATACTCATTACTGAGTTGTTTTTTCCCGTTTAATTGCTACTAGTATTTCTGGTATTCATCAGCATCTCTCTTTATGCAAGTAGTATCTCGTATGATAGTTGGATATTTATGGTACTAAAAGGTATTGTTGTTTCGTTTATTTATTGACAGTGCAAATTTGTGCTTCAGCTTGAATCTATTTAATAATGCTGATCATTATCTTCAAGCAGGTCAATTACCGAACTGATTATAGTGAAGAAATCTTTGATGATCCATCTACTGCTGCATTATTACAGGTATGTTAATTTCAGAAATGCCATTGGCTTTTTACGATATTCCTTGTCAATTTTTATATTTTAGGTCATTCAACTTGAAGTTGAGATGTTGCAGATGATTGTAACGTTTATTTTTTTAAATTGGTTGCTTCCTTGAGTCTATTTATTTCTTGTTTTTGTGAAAGGGTGGCTGTTAATTATGGCTAAAATTTCAATTGAAAATTGAAACACCATACAGAATAACTATAGAAGCATAAAGCATAAAAAACTCATTTAAAAAATTCAATCTATCTCATCCATTTAAGAAAGAAAACCATTCAATCCATCCATTAAAAATATGATTTTATAAATGGATATCAGATCCATGCATATAAATAACATTTTAAAAATTAAATAATTTCATTTTTGAAATGTTCTTTTTTTCTTTCTTCTCTATATAGTTTCTCACTCTTTTATCTCTATGTTTGGGCTGTCCACACAATTAGTACGTGAAATTACTTCAATTTTGTAAAAAGGCAGAACATTGAGAATGCTTGATTAATTGACTTAAAAAAGTCTTAGTCTTAAGTTATAAGTTATATGTAATACCAAAAACAATTAAATTTAATGTGTTATATATGTGTGTGTGAGACAATATTATTGCAAAAAATTTAGTTAATATTCACTTTAATCGATCAACATTCAAATGGTTCATGCAACTTTGTTTAAATATTGAGAGTCAGAGACGTTACACAAATGCCTTTAATTTAATAACATTTTTTCACTATATTTCCCCCAAAATTTATGTCTGCCGTAAATTCAACATGTTTCTTTTGTGGTGGTTATTTATCCTCCATTGAAAGTGAAACTTCGTATTCATTTGGCAAGCAGAAATTAAAAGATTAGTTATTAAATTTGTATTAATTTTGCATTTCTTTATCAAAACAAAAAGCCTTATCATTTTTTTGTTATTTTTTCATTTCACTTGTAACTTTGAATGTTTGCTAAATAATTATGGAGTCCTTTCAAATCTTATAAACTCAAATTATTTTCAAATCTTACAATTTTTTATGATTTAAATCCACAGTGCAAGTAAGGGAATGTTTGTATTATTCAGTAACAGAAATAAAGTAAATATGAAAGGAGATCAATCCTACTACTAGAGCGGAGTCTCTCCTAAACATTCTTTATATATGCCAATACCTGGCTCACACATTTGGCAATTCGGTTACTCCCGTTGCCACCTCTTTTCACACCCTGGTTCCTCCTAGCATACACTCCTAGTCTTGGGCCTTCCCTTTAAGTCTAGGCTTACACCACCAGTCTTATCAATACCCACTTCTTCGAAAGGAGACTTGTTCTCAAGTCTTGGTTGTGAGAATTGACTTTTTATATTGAGCTCTTCTTCCCAAGTCGTTTCTTCCATTCCTTGTCCCTTCCCTTGAATTAGAACTCGGTTAATAGATTCTCCAACTTTCTTGATCATTATTGGGGCCAACACAACTTTGGCCTCCTCACTAACAGCATCATCACTGGTCAACACCACAGGAAGAGTCTCCTCCATGTTATAATCGCCCACAGCCTTCTTTAATAGTGACACATGAAAAACTGAGTGTATCTTGGATGCCTCCGGCAATTGCAACCTGTATGCTACTGCTCCTACACGAGCTAACACTTTGAAAGGCCAATGTTAACGGGGAGCTAACTTAGGATTAATTTTGGTTCCTACAGTTAACTGCCATGGGACCTTAGCTTTAGGAAAACCCATTCTCCAGCTTCAACTGGCTATCATTCCTCTTTCTATCTGCTTGGGTCTTCATCCGATTTTGAGCACTTTGCAACTGATATTTTAATTGAGTGATAGCTTCAACTCTGATCTCTCCAGGTTGAAACCTACTGATGGCTTTCTACCATAGACAACTTCAAATGGTGTCATTCTAGTCTATGTATAAAAATTGGTACTGTACCAATACTTAGCCCAAAGTTTGGGCTGGTTAGCCACAGAACACCTCAGAAATTTCTCCAAACATCAGTTCACCGCCTCCGTTTGGCTATCCATTTGCGCGTGATAGGCCACTCTCATTTTTAGAGATGCGCCTGAGCTTAAACAATTCCTTACCAAATAAACTAACAAAAATGAGGTCCCTGTTACTGATTATGGAGGCTGGAACACCATGTAAAATCACCACATCTTTGGCAAAATTCTCAGCCAACACCCGTGCTGAATACGGATGTTAAGGGTAATGAAGTGACTATATTTGGACAGCCTGTCCACCACCACTAAAATGGCTTCATAACCCTTAGACTTTGGAAGACCTGTGATGAAGGCCATAGATATCTCCTCCTATATCTGTTCAGGAATATTGAATGGCTGTAGCAACTCATCAGGCGCTGCAGCTAGGTATCTTTGTCTCTGGCATGTGTAACAACCCATCACAGACTGTTGGACACTACTATTCATTCCAAACCAGAACAGATTTTCCGCCACCTCCTATAAGTTCTACAGTACCCTGAATGGCCTCCTGGGGAGTCTTGTGGAATTCCTTAAGCATTTTGGGTATCCAATCAGAGTTAGAGGACAGCACCAACCTCCCCACATAAAACAGCGTGCCCCTCTTGTAGATGAACCCTGACTTGGTTTCCTTATCCTGTTTCAAATCTGATATAGACGCAGCTTCTCATCTTGATAAACTTCCATAGTTTCCTGAATCCTTTCCCAATTCGGGTAATAAACCAATATGTGCAATTTAGCTTCCCCATACATCTTTGACAATGCATCTGCCCCTCTGTTTTCTACTTCTACTCCCGGTTTATATTCAATATCAAACTTATATCCCAACAACTTAGCAATTTTGTTGATCCATGGTAGTTACTCTCTGTAGTAGTAATTGCCTTGAACTTTTTTGATTCATTTGAATTATAAATTTCCTCCCCCAACAAATATGGTCGTCAATGCTGAATTTCCAAAGCCACAACCATTAATTCTTTCTCTTAGGAAGATTTTGTCCAAGTTCCTCTCTCCCAATGCCTTGCTGATATAAGCTAGAGGTTTGCCGTCTTGAGTAAGAATAGCACCTATGCCCTGATCAGAAGCATCACTTTCAGTCACAAATTCTTGCTGAAAGTTTGTTAAAGCCAACACTGGGCCAGTTTGATGTAATGGGGTCCTTGCCCAGTTACTTTGAAATTTTGTTATAAATATTTTGTTACTTTTCTTGATGTCTTCAGTAGTGCAACATGCTCCTTAGGTCTCTTTACTCTTCTTATAGATTCTTCTAGCCCAACCATAGGCTCCTCCCATTTAGCTATTCTCTTCTTGGGTCTTCTTAACCCAATTAAGGGGTCCGTCCTTGTTGTCTTCCTTTTCTTCTTGAAGGTCTTCATTGATCTTTGTCACTTTTACCACTGAAAATCAACAATAACAACCTAACCTATTCCTTAGATGGGATCAGCTCAATGAGTTATACATACATATGACACTTAAGAAAATTAGAGAAGCAACACAATGTGATTTCCTTAATCAACAGAAGCAACAATTACAAATGCATTTTTCCCAGAAGGTGGGGTTTCCTATTAATACTCAATAGTATGAAGGCCTTGAATTCCTTAAAATATATTTGTAAAATTTATTACACCATGTTCTTAGATACATTGTATGGGTAAATTTCATATCTTTTTTCTCCTCTTTGTGGTGTTTTGAAGGTGGGGTTGCTTTACACTCAAAGGGATCCACCGTTCCTTCGTCCCATATCTAAGGGGATTCAGAGGTGTCTAGTGAGATGGTAAGTAATTTTCTTTAGTTTCAATGTGCAGATAATAAACTGGACATGATTAAAATACTTTTGCATATTGATATTTGATTGCAGGCTTGTACAGCAGCAGATGCAGCTGAATTTCCGCGACTTGATTCATTTTGTGTGGCACAGAATAATACGTGGACGTTATTATCGCCATTTGATGGTACAAGTAGGCTACAAGTAGAGCATGAAAGTAGGTAAAATGTTTGAGCAATCCCCCTTTATTTTGGTTGAGACTAATATCACATAATTAAATATTGGTCGCTATGTTGATCCTCGGTGAATACTGAGATATTACTTATTTGGCAATCAGAAAAATGGATTTAGTTCATTATCTTTACTGTAGTGTTATGGCATTTGTAGAGCTTAGGAGAGATTTTAGCGCTGTAAAACTCAGTATGTAGAGTGGTAGAAAGTGAGGAATATATTGGGAGTTCATTTGGTGGGTTTCGGAAGCTGCTATACTTGGATATATTTGACGGGTACATGGGCCCAAACCAATACATTAAGGAGACGGTATTGCAAGTTTATATTCATTACCCTGGTTTCGGGGTCTTTTTTGCTCATACCCTGTAATGACATTTCCTATTCGGTTAATTACAAAAAGCAATTTTTAATATTCTAATCAATATTCAACAACCTATATACAATAATCTTATTTGCTCTTTTTTCTGCTTTTTGTTCTTTTCTTTTTTTTCTTTTTTTCTATTTTAATTTTTCACATTACATATTTGGGTTGAGAAGAATGATTTGTGTGAAAGTAACTATTGTTATGTATTCAGGTTAACTTTGAAAATGACAAAGTGAGGCAAATTTTCCACTGATTTCGTGGAGAGACATGTATGTTAACTACGACCAATTTATTGTATTTTGAAGATTGAGTGCAATTATCATATGCTGTTTATATTTTTTGTACTCTAACTTCTATTGAAGAGTTTTGGTTAACATTTTTTTGTTGGGTGAAGTTTTTATTCCTTATATCCAAGATGAAATGCATTTAAAAATGGCACATTGCATTATGCTTGGAGTGGAGTAACTTCCTGAACTAGATAATTTGGTTCCTTATTCAGTTACATTTTTGATTTTTGCCTTGTTCCTTTTTATGAGTAAACCCTCAATTCAGTACTTGACAGCTGTCAGTTAGTTATTAGTTTGTTGGTCTCTTAGGTTTTTTTTAGAAGATACTTGTATTTGTAATATAAATACTGCCCTATGTAAACTGAATCATTTTGTATCAATAATATCCAGATTTCTGTTTCTCCTAAATTATTTTACTTCACAATTTAATTATGGTATCAGAGATTGAGAAAATCTCGTATGGCTTCCGATTTGAGACCTTCACCAAACTTGCCGCCACTTGGTCAAGATGAGCATAAACGAATGCCGCGGCAGCTATTTTCGCATATAATAACTCTTCGTGTGGAAGCAGCAGATTGAACCCATGCATCGTGGCCACAAGCTGCATAGGTTTCTCCTAAATCCAGAAATTATGTCGAGGTTTTTCTTTCAAGCTGATTACGATGCTGGAATTGTACAACAATGATTAAGAAATAAAATGAAAGTTTAGGAAAAATGTAATATTTATTACCAATGTCTTTTTATTTTTTTAGTATTTAATGAAAGAATAATTATCATTTTGTTAATTATTGACGATAATAATGGTATAATGGTTAGTAAAACTATGAGTTAATCATCCATACACTGTCAATGTAAATTTTTTTTACACTGGTAACTAATTATATCTTTTAAATTATTTTATTTTATTTTTAGTTCATTAAATAAGTAAATAACATGACACTATTAAAATATATGATTGATTGCTAGTATAATTTTTTTTTACACTGACAGTATTTAAATGATTAAATCTAAAATTATATAACAAAATATTTGAGGACATAAGCTGATGGTTGGAATAAGAGGAAAGTAAGAGTTTGTCAGTTCAGATAATTCAATAAAAAATAAGATCAATGATATAAACTAAATCAATTAAGTTGGTTTAATTTTTTTCTTAATTGAATAAATTCAATTCAAACTCATTAAATTCAACTCTAATTGATTCCAATCACATATATGCATTTTACGAATCATGTTTGAAAATTGAACTAATTAAAATTAATAGTATTTAATTATTTTAATTATAATATAATACTTATGATTTTATAAGTAACACGAGTGTAAAGTTATTATAATGTACTAACCTATAATAGTTATGATATCTTTTATCCTGTATAGATAAATTTAAAATTTCTTAACACATTTATAAGAATTAATCTAAATTCATGTATAAATAATTTAAATGAAATCTCTAACATAAGGTAAAGAGTATCATATAAAAAATTTTGAAAAAAATTCTACTAAACAAAAACAGAAAATTAAACTCGAATCCTATTATAGAAATTAATAAAAATGTTATTCCTAATTTAAGTCTTGATGTCGTAAGTCTTACCAGAACACTTCCAAGACAAGGATTATGTCTCGTCATCGACATAATTAAGATTTCAATGAACATTACATGCAATAACATTCATATAACCAAGACATGGAAACAGGGGGAGTGAGAAACTTCTCACTCTAGCTCATGGTATGAAATAAAAAATAGATAACCAAACTCACTTCATACATTAATCATACAATAACATGAGAATAAAAATCAATTATCATAATCATTCATATATCACTACCAACACAACAACGCATTAATTGTAAGTAATTCAGACACATGCTATGGAATGCAATGGATATAGACTTTCGGTTCGCATGCATGTGGTACCAAATATATGCACAAGCACAATGTATATTAATAATTTATCGATTTGCGTACATATGATGCATTTCACATAGACTCTTTCATATTATGAATTCAATGTATACATATACTTAACGATTTGTCATTCAACGATTTTCCACACATACGATTTGTCATACTCAAAATAGTTATTAATCATACATACCTATTACCATATACACAATTTTCTAACATCGTTCTATTTGCAACATTCATTCATCATAATGTCATAATTTCATATTTACTCATCATACTCAATCATATCCATCAATTAGCACAAGGATCATTATGGAACCATCTAACCACATGAAAACCTTAGCCACAATCACTAAGAGATCATCATCAAATTAAACATTTACATTAATAACTTAACTAGTCTAGCAATGTTATTGATACCACAAATTGATTCCTTAGGCTTCACTATCATCAAACACCTCAGTCATTAACAATTAACTCACATTATAACTTATACATAATTGTTCTTTCTCATGATTTATGTTTCTTAGACATTAATATAGGTACTTCAAACCATTCATATGATTAAACACTCAAAGGGCAAAGCTATTCGTCATCACCATTCACAACTATATTTTCATAACTTAATCTTCTAAGACATCGTGTGGTCCAAACACCTTATTTAGAGCTATATATATACTATCAAGTTGATATCAATTTTATTAGAAATCTAAGACAATTATCTACAACTTTTATGTTGACATTAAGAGTTAATTCTCCCATATACTATTTTCAAAAATTATAAATCCACAGTATTTGAGTCTACACATGACATCTTGACCTTTATTCACTAATTTGATCATAACTATTGAGTTCTAAACCTCATTTTGGGTGATTCTAGTGTCATTGAAAAGCTAACATCTAAGCTTACAACTCTTATGAATAACATGAAACTTAATTCGGCCATCTAAGGGCTCTCATGATGCTTATAAGTGTCAGATGTTATATCTTGCGCACAGAATATGAGACTCATCTTGTGACTAACATAATTTACTTGTTTCTTATCATTTTATGTAATTCTTGTGTCTAAACTCTAACCTCAAATTTATACTTTCTAGCCCAACAATCGGAACTCAATTTCATTAATCACATATAGAGAAATCACATAAATATTAAGGTATATTCAAACAAGAATTTTCAGAATCAGCACAACTCACATCCAAACTCTCTTCTCCAAATCTAATCGGTAAAAACATAGATTAAAGCTTAATATTAGTCTATTATACCATCAATTACACAAATTCAATATAAATTTCACATAATTGCATACTCATAATATCTTCTCATACAATTACCCAAATGCATTTCTTTAGGATTCCATAGGAACCCACAAACAACTCAAATCATACCAACAAACATCAATACACAAAATTAATCATAGATAATCAAAATTATAATAATTAAAAGGGTAAAAGAATCATAAGGAAGACTAAAATTCAAGAATGGAAAATATTTGGGAGAACCTCCTTCATACCACACATACATCAAACAAGTGTCAATACATGAAATTAACCATGAATATATACAATTAATGACAATACAATAATAGAAGAATCATATAGGAGACAACAAATCATAAATAGATATGAATTGAAATTTTCCTCAAAAAACACATATAACAAACAAGAGGTTGGGGGCCAACCTTACTAACCAACAATTATCCCACACCCTATAGCAAGATTACTCACTTCCCCTTACTCTATCAGCAAACAACGAAGAACGTGGGTCTTCGAGATGATCTTCCCCTATCTCCTCTCTTCCTGTTTCTTGAGAGTGTAAAAGAAAGGTGAGGGCATAAGCAAAAACTAACGTGCTTCTCTTTTTTAAATCTAAACCTAATTTATCCTCCCTCTAACCCATTCTTAGTTAATTATCCATAAGTTACCTATTCATTTCCCTCACTTTATTATTATTATAATAATAATAATAATAATAATAATAATAAAAATAATAATAATGATAAAAACATTATAATAAAGTATAATTCTCATATAATTTAATCAAAATAAATATATAAATATAACTTTATCCTTAAAATATTCTCTAACATCAACCCTTTAAATTTTATAAAAGATATATATTATTAATTTAATTACAAAAAAATAAGGTGTTGCAATAGTACTACGGTTATAATTGTTCTTTTTTTATATTTTATAATATTAGTATATTTTATAATACTATTTTATTAGTTGTTCTATAATCAATAGTTATATTGTTTATACCCACACAAATGCCTTCTAGTTATTCAACTTTGTCATTTTTTGAACATTTTGGATTATTGTTCACTTTTTTAACCTAGTTATTCGACTTTGTCATTTTCTGAACAGTTTTAGATTATTGTTCACTTTTTTAGACCAAACATTAGACTAAATACCAAAATTTCTAACATTTATTATAACTTAATATACTATTTGTATGATGACATTCAAGTTGAGAAAATAATACATGAGGATTAATTGGATAGTAATTATAATTTGGACAATTTAGTTATGTTTGAGGGACTATCATAATTTTTAATGTTGGAATATTTTCATTTCAAATGTTAGGGTATGTTTAACTCCTTTAATTTCATATTTCTTAAATTACTTTTTATTTATTTATATTTTAATGTTATTTACACTCTTTTAATAATAAGTTTTTATTTAGATTTTGGAAAAAAATAATAATGTTGTACTGGTAAGGGCAGGTAGGGGCGTTCGGCCACCACCCTGTCGGCCGCCGAATGGCAGAACCAGGTGGCCGAACGCCAGTCAGCCACCAGGATCAGCCCATCATTACTCATTGCCCTTAATCCATGATTAGGGGTTAATTAGCTGATTAAGGTGTATTACCTAATAAGGTAAATACGTTGCAGGGCCCATGGGGTCTAGGGCCCACAAATGTCAGTATAAATAACTCAGGTCAAAAGGTAACATCACTGTTCATTAATTATCCTAGATATTCGTGCTTGTCCTGACTTGAGCGTTGGAGTGCCTTTTGCAGGTATCAACCCTGTCACCAGCTTATCGGATTGGAGCTCTCGTTTGGCCCTCAAACTACGAGAAGATCACTGGTGTACCCCTTTAGACAGGTACATTTGGCGCCCACCGTGGGGCCGAACTGAGACGATTGTGAAGATTAGTTGAGCAAGACAATGGCGATAACAAGGAGAACGAATACGGTAGAACAACAGCCCGAGGAGGCGCGTGTTGAAGTGGTGGACGAGACTGATCTCTCGGAAACCGTTCATTTATTAAAACAGGAGATGGTCGCGATGAAACAACAACGGGAGAAGGATGCAAAGGAGCTTTCGGCATTAAGAGCCGAAAATGAAGCACTAAAAAATGATCCGACCTGGAAACCCACTCAAGTGACCAACATGCCGACCCAGGGGTCCTATCAGTCTCATGAGGTCCATACCTCGGCTCCACATGCCTCGGCGGCGGCACCTCCAATAATCCTTTCAGCTCAACATACTGTTAGTCGTCCTATAGACTTGGCCACTGTTGGCTCGCATCGTCACCCTTTTACTCCTTCCATTATGCAACTCCCTTTAATGGATAACTGGAAATCCTTGCCCATTGATAAGTATGATGGTACAACAGATCCTGATGAACATTTGGATGTTTTTTTGACGCAGGTGACATTGAGTACAACAGATGATGTTGCCTTGTGTCGGATTTTTCCGACGTCTCTCAAAGGCAGGGCCTTGAGTTGGTTTACTCGACTCCCTTCTAACTCCATTGATTCGTTCAACACATTGTCTTCCCAGTTCGTAATTTAGTTTGCAACGAGCCGACCTCATAGCTTGACGTCTCTATCCCTGGTCAATCTTTGCCAAGACAAAAAAGAGTCCCTTCGGACATTTATGGATCGGTTCAACAAAACTGCTTTGGAAATCCGCAATCTCAATCCGACTGTTGCACTGCATCACCTGACAACAGCTTTAAAGCCTGGGCCGTTTGTTAATAGCATCTGTAAAAAGCCTCCTTCGGACATGCATGATTTACGAAGGCGGGCCGATAAGTATATGCAAATGGAAGAATTGGCTGAATATCGCAATCAAGCCCGAGCCGAACCATCGAGCAAGCCAGAGAAGCAAACAGAGCAACCATACAAGGGGCGAGGCAAGGAGATAACCTTTCGGGACCGACCCGTGCGGGGATCGAAGTATACACACTATACCCCTCTCAATGCAAGTCGATCCGCGGTGCTTGAACACGCGTTGGCGACGGAAATACTGGCTGTCCCGAAAAGGGCTTCCACTCCTCCACGCGCTGATACCAGTAAATCTTGTCGGTATCACCGTAATCGTGGACATTCTACTGAGAAGTGCACAGCCCTTAGAGACAAAATTGAGGTGTTAGTCAAGCAAGGCCGACTTCATAATTTTGTTAATCGGCTTGACTCGTCTCGGTCCCGTCAATATCAATCGAGACGTAATCAGCCTAGGCATGACCGTTCGGATAGATCTCGTAGCGAGCGAAGCCGACGAGAGAGAAAAGATGAACCTACAGTTTCACATAGGCGAGTCATCAACACCATCGTAGGAGGATTCGCCGGCAGAGGCTCTACTTCTTCGGCCCGAAAAAGTCACTTGCGTGCCGTGCGGTCGGTCAACACAATCGATAGACAACCTGTTCGGAGATTACCGGCCATAACTTTCACCGATGCCGATTTCCAAGGCATAGATCCCATACAGGATGATCCCATGGTGATTAGTGTCGAAATTCACAACTGCATCGTTAGAAAGACACTGGTGGATCAAGGCAGTTCGGCAGATATATTGTATTGGAACACTTTCAAACAACTGGGTATCTCCGAGAAAGAACTTATGCCATATGACGAACCATTAGTCGGCTTCTCAGGGGAGAGGGTAAGTACCAAGGGGTACATTAAACTTTTTACTCGCTTTTGTTTTGATGAGCAGGAGTATAAAGACATCCAGGTCAAATACATAGTAGTGCACGCTAGTACGTCCTACAATATTCTTCTGGGTCGGCCCTCATTGAATATGTTGGGCGCTATCGTTTCCACACCGCATTTGGCAATGAAATTCCCATCTGAAAAAGGGAAAATCCTCACTGTTCATGTCGATCAGAAGGCAGCCCGAGAATGTTACTTCGCTAGTCTACAAGTAACTCCTGTTAAGGAAACACAATCAAAATCAAAGAGAGTTCATGTGGTGAACCCCCTAGAAGCAGATACATCTTCAACTTGGGATTTGGATCCCAGAATGAATGAGGACGAACGAATGGAATCAACCGAGGAGAAGATTGTATTCCAGATCGGCTCGGAAACTTCCTAAGTCACATATCTCGGGGCCGGATTGGCCAAATCGGAAAAAGAAGCATTAGGCAAGATCATCCGTAAAAACAAGGACCTCTTTGCTTGGGTACCTTCTGATATGCCAGGCATTGACCCAAAAGTGATGTGTCACAAACTCTCCGTTTGCCGGGAAGCTAAACCAGTAGCTCAACAGAAGAGGAAGATGGGAACCGAAAGGAAAATGGCTGTTGAAAACGAGGTAGTTAAATTGCTTGAGGTAAAGTTTATTCGGGAGGTGCAATACACAACATGGTTGGCAAACGTAGTTATGGTTAAGAAGGCTAATGGGAAATGACGGATGTGCACCGATTACACAAATCTCAACAAAGCCTGCCCGAAAGAGCTTACCCGTTGCCTAGCATTGATCGTTTAGTTGATGGGGCCTCTGGACATAGCATGCTGACTTTTCTTGACGCCTATTCAGGATATAATCAAATTCAAATGCACCCCCAGTATGAGGAAAAGACCGCTTTCATCACCGATTCAGCCAACTATTGTTACCAAGTAATGCCGTTCGGCCTCAAGAATGCCGGAGCCACATATCAAAGACTGATGAATAAGATGTTCAAGGAACAAATTGGCAGAAATATGGAAGTCTATGTGGATGATATGGTGGTAAAGTCGGCAGAACTCTACAACCATATCACGGACTTGGTCAAAATTTTCCAGCAACTTCGGCGATATGATATGAGACTCAATCCCGAAAAGTGCACATTCGGCGTCGCAGGTGGTAAGTTCCTTGGATTCATGCTTTCGGTTAGGGGCATTGAGGCTAATCCTGACAAGTGCCAAGCAGTTATTGACATGAGAAGCCCGCAAAGTGTGAAACAGGTACAACGGTTGGCAGGTCGGCTCACGGCATTATCAAGATTTCTTCCATGCCTCACAGAAACAGCCAAACCAATTTTGAGTTTGTTGAAAAAAGTACACAAGTTCACATGGACGGAAGAGTGTGAAGCGGCTTTTCAAGTGTTGAAACAGTGTCTCGGAACACCTCCGGTTCTTTCAACACCTGACCCTCAATCGGACCTTATTATCTACTTATGCGTTTCCCAGGAAGCCATCAGTGCGGTGTTGATACAAGAAAACGAGACCCAAAAGCCTATCTACTTTATTAGCCGAATGCTGCAGGAATCGGAAACAAGATATCAATTACTTGAAAAGGTAGCACTTTGTCTTGTCCACACAGCACGAAGACTTCAGCAATACTTCCAGGGGCACCGAATAGTCGTACGCACAGATTTCCCAATCGCTAAGGTTCTGAGGAAACCTGAATTAGCAGGACGAATGATGGCATGGTCCATTGAACTGACAGAATTCGACATATCATTCGAACCAAGAGGTCCGATAAAGTCGCAATACTTAATCGATTTCATAAATGAATTATAGCCGACTGGACATTTTGAGAACGCTCCATGGACGATCCATGTTGATGGCTCTTCTAACAATCAAGGCAGTGGGGCAAGTATAATTCTGGAAGGACCGACAGGCTTGACACTTGAGCAATCACTCCAATTCGCTTTTCAAGCCTCCAATAACCAAGCCGAATATGAGGCACTTTTGGCTGGATTAAGGTTAGCCCGGGAAGTAGGAGTGAGGAAGCTTATTTGTTGGACTGATTCAAAAGTTGTATCGGAGCAAGTGAATAATAATTTCCAGGTTAAAGACGCTCATTTGTTAAAGTACTATCATACATTCCAAAATATGACACAATATTTTGATGAAGTACTTGTGAAACATACCCCTCGGGGAAATAACGAAAGAGCCAATCAGTTGGCTCGGCTGGCAACTAGCAATTACAAGCCGGGACAACTTCAAACCACTCTCCATCTGGAACTTTCTACACCAAGTGTCGATACGGTAGATTTCTTGGCAGTTTCCGAGCCACCTGTCACATGGATGACCGACATTGTGCGCTTCATCACTGAAGGCGCTCAACCGTCATGCCCTTCGGCTGCCAAAAAGTTGAGAACTCAAGCTGCAAGATTTTCAGTGCTGGGAGGAGAACTCTATCGAAGAGGGTTTTCATCCCCGCTACTCAAATGTCTCGACCCAGAACAAGCCAACTATGTCTTGAGGGAAGTCCATGAAGGCATCTGCGGGTCGCACTCGGGGGGCAGAACATTAGCAGCAAAAGTTCTTCGGGCTGGCTACTATTGGCCGACACTCAAAACTGACTGTATGGATTATGTCAAAAAGTGCATCTAGTGCCAAAAGCATGGCAACTTAATTCATGCGTCAGCCGAACAACTACACTCCATTAGTTCGCCATGGCCTTTCGCCCTTTGGGGTATGGATATACTAGGGCCTTTTCCTCTTGCCAAAGGACAATGCAAGTTCTTGTTAGTCGCCGTTGATTACTTTACTAAGTGGATAGAGGCCGAGCCGCTTGCCACTATCACAGCCAACAACGTTCAAAAGTTCCTTTGGAAGAGTATTGTCACACGTTTTGGAATTCCTTATGCTCTAATAACTGACAATGGACTCCAATTTGCCGAGCGCAAGTTCAACAAATTCCTCGAAGAACTAGGAATCAAACACCGATTCACGTCAGTTGAACACCCTCAAGCGAATTGTCAAGCCGAGGCGGCAAACAAAGTAATTCTTTCAGAGTTAAAGAAACGCTTAGGGGATGCCAAAGGGTTATGGACAGAAGAACTTCCAGAGGTAGTATGGGCCTATCGTTGTAGCCCCCAATCCACAACATAAGAAACACCATTGAGGTTAACATATGGTACGGAAGCAATGATCCCAGTTGAAGTTGGGGAGCCATCATTTTGCCGAACACATTTTGATGAGGCTTCTAATGCACATCGCTTTGGGCTGAGGTTGATATGGTTGATGAGGTGCGCGATCGGGCTCATCTCGTTGCCGAAGCGTGCAAACAAAGAATGACTCGGAGGTATAATTCCAACCTCACACGGCGTAGTTTTAAAGAAGGTGACCTGGTATGGAGAGTGCAAGGATCGGCTAGACGCAACCCCCGCGAGGGAAAGCTAGCAGCCAATTGAGATGGCCCTTTCAGAATCCGACACAGCCTTCAAAATGGAGCGTACAAGTTAGTAGAGCTATCGGGAAAACCCATCCCCCGCACCTGGAACTCAACTCATTTGAAAATGTATTTTAGCTAGACATGTTTGTAACCGAGGGAAATTATCATCAATGTACATGCATGGTGCACTCTTTTCCTTGATCGGTCTTTTCTCCCCTTATAAAAAAGTGAAAAAGGGTTTTGGCCGACAAGGTTTTTAATGAGGCACAAATCAATGAAATGCAGTTCAATTCTTCTCTCTCGTTCAATTCTTCTCTTTCGTTCAATTCTTCTCTCTCGTTCAATTCTTCTCTCTCATCATCAGTCTTACTTTTTAAATAAAGGCTTCCTTCCCGAGTTGATCAACTCGGCCAAGGATGGGCCTTCGGAAAATCGCACAAAAAGGCTTCCCTCCCAAGTTGATCAACTTGGCCAAGGATGTGCCTTCGGAAAATCGCAAAAAAAGGCTTCCCTCCCGAGTTGATCAACTCGGCCAAGGATGTGCCTTCAGAAAATCGCACAAAAAGGCTTCCTCCCGAGTTGATCAACTCGGCCAAGGATGTGCCTTCGGAGAATCGCACAAAAAGGCCTCTCTTCTGAGTTGACCAACTCGGCCAAGAATGTGCCTTCGGAAAATTACGCAAAAACGCAATTCCGTGTGAATCCTCTCGGTCTTGCTCAGAAAGAAGCACAAATCCGAATGAATCCATTCGGTATTTCTTAGAAAGAAACGCAATTCCGAATGAATCCACTCGGTCTTGCTCAAAAAGAAGCACAAATCTGAATGAATCCATTCGGTATTTCTTAGAAAGAAACGCAATTCTGAATGATTCCACTCGGTCTTGCTCAGAAAGAAGCACAAATCCGAATGAATCCATTCGGTATTTCTTAGAAAGAAACGCAATTCCGAATGAATCCACTCGGTCTTGCTCAAAAAGAAGCACAAATCCGAATGAATCCATTCGGTATTTCTCAGAAAGAAACGCAATTCTGAATGAATCCACTCGGTCTTGCTCAAAAAGAAGCACAAATCCGAATGAATCCACTCGGTCTTGCTTCAGAATACAAGTTGTTTTCATGCTACAAGAAAAAATATTGATTCGGCCAAGTTATTACCTAAGTCTTACGTGCAAATTGGATAAGTACTTGGAATGAAAACTTATTAAAGATAACAAAAAAGGGATAATATCATTTCATTCAAAAGGTGGAGGCTCTATCGGCCCCCTTGCTACAAACAGTAAAATCCTAACACTAATCATCGGGATTGTTTATTGGGTCACCCTGAACATTAGTCTCATTTTCCCCCTCTGGTTCGGGGTTGGTAGTTTCTTCACCTTCCTCTTCACCGGATGAAGTATTGGCATCTTCTTCTGCATGGGGGGCATCCTCCGGTTCCTCACCATCGGGATTTGCCCCTTCGGGCATTTCAGCAAACGACATGAGTGACCCTTGATAAAAATCTTGAGTCATGTCGAACTCAAAATCCTCAGGGAATTGGCCGAAGTGCTTGGCTTGCCGAACGGCGTGTTTAAAATCGGCTTCGCGTTGAGCAACAATTTTTTTCTTTCGCCTGCTCCTTAAGGTTGTTATACGCAGCCTGAGCTTCCTCCAGTCGGCGGCACTCTTCATTAGCTGCCTTTTGGAGGTCTAGACGAAGAGTATCATTGTCTCGCCGAACAGCATCCAACTCGGCCGCTAGCTCCCGATTTTTGGCCGTTATTTCTTCATTGACCGAAATTGCTTCGGCTGCAATCTTCTCGGCCTCCTCCAGACTTTGCTTCAGATGCATTACCTCGCCGAGAGGCTCCATGGCTAGGTGATGAGCCAGGGCCAATGAGCGAGTTTGCACCTCGCAAAAAAGCCTCCACTTGGCTCTTGCGTCCAGAGTAGCCAAAAACTCCTGCCCGAACAACAAGCAAGCATACCAATCTCCATTGGCAAATATCAAG